ACTCGGGAATAAGGTTTATCTAATATGGGTGAACCATTATTAGCTGTTTGATAAAGTAGTCAAGCCGAAGGGTCATGTTAGCTGTTACCGTGACGTTTCTAACATTGTAGAGAGCGATGAGCAGAGTCGAAGGTGAGCAGCTACACTCAAAGTACAGGAGAACAGAATATGTCATTTTCATAATCAAAGATGAGTTTTTAGGACTTTAGTCAAGGCCAGGAGAGGAGCTATAAGATTTCTTGTCATGCCCTGTGATAAACATGTCAGGGTTGCTAACCAGAAAGACATAAAGGTCCTACAACAGTTGAGAAAAATGTTGTAAGTTGTTTTGGAGCTTTTGATCACATCACACTAACTTTATTAACAGATGGAGATGCCTAGTCGTCATTGTAGATGTTCAAATTTCCATTTTTCTGACCCCTTTAAGGACATCTTGTCCATGTTGGCGTGATCTTGTAAGAACCATGATTCATACTACTCAGTTTATGCCCTGAATGCATGGCTCATATAGTGTCGCCATTGGGAAACGGAAAAGCCAGAGCTGGAAGAGTCGTTTGGGAGTGCTATGGTTTCCCAGTAAGTTACAACAACATAAGAAACTGTGTGCCAATATTACTTATCCAAAGATGACCATAGCAAACTATGTATTCAAAGCCAAGTTATGTTCTGAGCTGTGGATTTTGTGTACCATTACACTCCCAACAGCTGTGTGCTGCTCAAGGAACTTTATAGACATTGCTAATTTTGACACCTTAAGCAGCAATTCTTCTAGCCTATATGACCACATGTGTGGGTCATTTGTTCCTACTCTGTTACACAACACAAAGGAGCATTTCCTGAATTAGCACCCCATAAGTAACAATACAAAAACTATATATATTACTGTCAACAGTCACAGTTTTAGTGAAACTGTTGTGGTTAGGTCCAGGACACAAAACTACTTGTGCTTTGTTACATTTACGAAAAGATCATGGTTTGGATCAATGTAAGCAAGTTTCTTACATACATGACGTACAAGACATACGCGGTGTAAATAACCTTACATATGTGGTGTACATAACTCAAATGTTGACTTGAAATAACCCAAAATTAACTCTTCATTTCACACAGAACACAAATGCAGTCTCCCGGGTTAAAGTCCTGCATTTGTTTGACGCATCATCCACCCCAACCTCCCCACTACATGGACTTTGTCACTCCCCAGGTAGCCAAAATGACCTGGCCCAGAATGGGCCTGAACTCGGCATGCCATATGAAATTAGCTGGGTCGCATGTGGTAGCCTGACTTGGCTGAGACTTGGCCAGCTGATTTGGCCCCAGAATGGGCCAAATCAGGTAACCCAATTCTGGCTGCCGACACCGTCATCACTGGGCTTTTATCAGAAAGGACTTGGCCTAGCATTGGCCCAAACTCAGCCTGCCAGATGAAGTTAGCCGGGTCGCATCCAGTTGCCTGACTCGGCTGAGACTCAGTATGAATGATGCCCTAGAATCAGGCCAAATCAGCTGGCCCGATTCCAGCTGCCAACACTGCCATCATTGGGCCATTATCATAAATGACCAGGCCCAGCATTGGCCCAAACACGGCATGTCAGATGAAATTACTTGGGCTGCGTGCAGTAGCCTGACTCGTCTGAGACTTTGCATGAATGACGCCCCAAAATTGGGCCAAATCAGCTGGCAAAGGAGTAAATCAGGGGATGCAGTATAAAGATCTTTTTACTGAATCACCTGACTTGCTCCTTTACTCCCGCCAAAATGAATATAACCACTAGAGGTTGCGGCTTATATGGGTCATAATAAGCTGCTTGTAAAAACGACCCATGTGATCATTTTTTGGGTTGAATTCTCCCTAAAGCATGAAACCCTCCGCACATATTTAGCCCTGGGCTTAATTTCAAGGGACATCTCAAACCATTCATCTCTATCCAGAGCAGCTACATTCACCATCTGTGCATCATATGGTCCATATACACCAACCGACTCAGACCCAAACTATACAGGAAACCCAACCTTAATGGACGAAGCGAGGGGGTTTATGAACCCTAGCAGCCCTTGGACCACAGTTCCTCCATGTCTCACATCTGGAGAAAACAAAACAAGTGTAAAAATATTAGCATTGCCAAAATGCCTCTGGGTAATAAATCATCAATTTATGAACCATAAATGTGTAGGAGCGTCTCGGGACGATCTCTGACAGGGAGTTCTTTTTGTTGGAACCTGTGAAAGACAGATGTGTCGCATAGGTTTACAACCTGAATGGTGCTCTTTCTTCAAATGTGGACAGGTAGACAAGGGAAATGAAAGAGGTGTGTGGGAGACACTGAGCTGACCTTTCCGCCACCTTTGACGTCATTTGACACCTGATATGGCAGGAAGGTCACGGGCAAAGGCAAACAGGGGTCAGAATGATGTGAGAAGAGTTTGCCGACAAAGTTTCACAAATGGGGGAAGGGTGATAGAGGAAGTGAAACTCAACACAGCAAAAGAATTAAAACTTTGATCAGTGTGGGTTTTTAAAGGTCAGTTTCAGTACTGACTGACGTTACAAATATCTGACAGGGGATTCATCCCATCACAGGACACTTAAACTTCATTTAAAGTGCAAAATCACAGTGAAGAATAACAGGATGTAAACAAAATGGCAAATTAAACCACATAATCAACAAATTATACACATCATTAACAGCCTATTCCAAGAAGAAGATGACCAGGGTCAAAAGCTCATCTTGGACTCTGCAGGGACTCTGTATACTAAAAACAAAAACATGCTCATCATCTACAATCCTCAGATATATATTGGTATCTGCCAAAACATCAAGTGAGTTATGAGCGTTTTGTCCTCAGCCACACTCCATGAGATCTGACCATTTATCTCACTGGACACTGACCTCGCTGAGTCATGAAATAAGGTCACTCCAAGTGCAGTTTGCCCTGAATCAGACCTTTTTTTTTCTGTTTTTTTTTACAGCAAGTCATTGCGCAGATCTTTGGAGAGTACATTTGTTATGGTTAAGACAGCATCACACAAATATTTAAAGCTACAGTACTTTGGCAAAAGAGAGAAAGCCAAAGATATCTGAGGGGAATTACAAAAGCCTTCTTGTTTAACAAGCAAGAACCCACCCTTAACTTTGAAAGTTGAAGTTTTGTGACATAATGAGGGACATAATAAGGTCAAATTTTCACCGAAAGGTTTCGGACATAGAGAAGGAGGAGGAAATGTGTTAAGATTTAGGGTGCAACGGGTATCCATCTGGCAGCTCCACAGGGGAACAGTGACACCATGTTTGTGGTCAGTATGTGAAGGCTTTCATTGTGTCTTCCAAGGAGATTATGTCGAACAAGTGTTTAGATTTTGATGGAGATCCATTACCAGTGAAACAAGCAGAGATCAAGGCCAATTTCAAACTTGAACAGCATCAAGCTAGGAGTTTAAGTGTTTTATGTATGCGTACATAGAGAATCAGCAAGTCTGCTTATATTTTTAGACAGATAAAAGATCATTAATGTGCTGTTTAACCAAAAATCATGACAATTTTATCAGGAAGCCATTTTGTAAGATAAAAATGCATATTAGGGGACCAATAACACACTGACCAAGAAATATTGTGTCATTTATAATCTCTCCATGGAACTTTGCTCCATAAACAAAGGCATTGTTCTGTCGCAACATTGAGAATGGGGAGCCACTGGTAGCAGAGGGTATACGCAGGTATACGGTGTATACCCACATCTTTTTCTGGCTGTTTATTGTATACCCTTTTACCCATTACCCACTTCATCCTTGGTAACCTATCCTTCTATGTATTAGTACACCTACCTCATGAACTACCACTGCACCACTGGGGGGGAGCATATATCCTCCTGAGACTCGGAACTTTTGTTTGGTATGCATTTTTAATTACTCTTCCTAGCTATTTGGGATCAGTAGGACCCAATTATTTAAAAGAAGTCCAAATGTCTTCAAATGGGTACTTCCTAATTGAGAGCGGCCCAGCTTGTTACTGTTGTTAAAATTGGCCAAATTTGTTGTCATATCAAACTACAAACATCATTATTATATTAAGTTTCAACCATAAAATGTGATCAGGTTTTGGACCTTGTCCACTTTTGCATTGGGATCGGCTGCAGAGTGACTTGGCAGAGATGGCTACCATCTTGTTTTTACATGGATTCGTGTATTGTGCTCTCACTAGCACTAGTTGGCACAAAAAAGTGTCCACGAACGAGGACAACAGGTCAATCTGGTGAATTTTTATGCATCACTTAATGGTGTAATTTAGTCAAAATAAAAGTCCACTGCTACTTTCATCTTTTTATTGAAGGGGACGAATGCATGTGTTCCAAATATTGAGGGGGATATATCTATATAAATCTACACCTCACCTGTGTCCATTAAACTTTTGAACTAAAAACAATCTACTCACCACTAGTCTATCTCAACAAGTAATTTGGTTGTGTTGATTTTACCTCAAAACAAGACAAACCACATGCTTGTCCTGCATGTGACATGAATTCTGTTACATTAGGTCACATTTTCTTCTTTTCCTGCCAAGTTGTTTCTGTCTTACTTGCAGTCATGGAAACATTTTTATGTGACTCTTCCATGAGAGGTCTGTAAACACTAAAACGACTTTCCTCTCCCCTTAAAAAATAACTACTAAATCCAGCAGTGTGCTTTGGAAGCACATTGGCTGTCATTCAAACGACCTCAGCAGACATTTGAATGTAGTTCCCAGAATATTTTTTGTTGAAGTGATCTCTAAAGAAGCAACCTGCCTTGTTCTTAAGCACAAAAAACTAAAGCAATATTAAAATGTTGACTTGGAGGGCCTGGAAATACTAAATGGCCACTGTGCAGCGAGAGAGACAAGGTCTTACTCAGTCGCCTTCAGGAGCATCGTCTCCTATCTGGCAGATCTGGAGGCATGCCAGCACCCGCCCTGTGAAATCAGCATCGCAGCGCACGGAGCTGACAAGTGCGCCTCCCCCTCCAAACGTTGTTTGACATACCCATCGTTGTAGGCTTCGCCTCTGGCTGTTTCTTTTTTAAAAGGCAAGCTCAAAGCCACAGATTATACATTTTGCTCACAAGCCGTGCGGGTAAAATAACCTACAGAGAGAGCGGCAGCGGGAATCAGGCTCTTTCTTTCTGATTTGGAGACGAACAGCTTGCGCGTAAACGGCACCAGGCATCACTGAAGGGAGAGATTCGTGGTGTCTGGATATTTTCTTTTTTTAATTTATTGGTGACAAGGGTGAAGGAGATTGCAGGGGGAGCAGAGTGATTCTTTGTGGATTGCGAGCATCGGATGACATTTGGGAGTTGAGCGCGCAAAGCACCTGTGGATGCAACACCCCCCACTGATGTTTGGACTCAAATCTTTTGCCAAGAAAGCATTCACCACGAGATTTAGTTGATAATCGTTGCGGTTTCGATCAAACAGCCTGCAGTTTAGACAAGAAGCGCGCCATGCTGCTGAGCGTTTCCCTCCTGGTGGTTCCCCTGCTGAGCATAACCGGCTGCGGCTCCTCGTACGTGCCGTGCCAGCCGTGCGATCAGAAGGCCCTGTCCATGTGTCCGCCGGTGCCGGTGGGCTGTCAGCTGGTGAAGGAGCCCGGCTGCGGCTGCTGCCTAACGTGCGCGCTCGAAGAGGGCCAGCCGTGCGGCGTGTACACCGGGCCGTGCACGCGCGGGCTCCGCTGCCTGCCCAAGAACGGCGAGGAGAAGCCGCTGCACGCGCTCCTGCACGGCCGGGGGGTGTGCAGGAACGAGAAGTTGTACAAACTGCTGCATCCGTCAAAAGGTAGGCCTGTGGAGAGATGACTGATTGAGACCACAGCGGCTGTAATTGCTTAAACAGGTCACTGGAACATTAATTAAGTGAATTAATTCGGCCATTAATTGATGACTGCTTCATTTTGTATTCATTATAGTGAGTGTACATCTTTTATCTTCTTCCTCCTCATTATATTCGACTATAGGAATTTAAAGTCATATTAAAGCACTAAATTTGCAGTGTTTTTCTTGGTTAAGCAATTATTATAACACTTCTATAATCTTCCTGTCAGCACTGATGGTGTTATTGCATTTGCATTGCAGGAATTAGACTTCAACTATAAAGGGCTCTGGTGCAAATAAATAGCAGACAGCTGGATAGAGATGTTACTCCTCCCTTGTCAATGCAGGAATTTTAATGAAGACCTCAAGTGACACATTCACAGGGAGTCAGCCAGTGATGCTGTGGTAAATTTTTTAAAACGATGATCACCACTCCAAAACACACTCATTCACACCCTGTCATAAAACTTAACTCCAACATGTATGAGTTTATGTTTTCTAAATGTGAGTGATAAAAAAAGAGGTCAGGTGCCCTCCTGTGTCTCTCTGGGAGCCGGCGAGGCTGATGGGAGTCAACTCACCATCCTTAAGACGGGCTGACACCTGTCATTACCAAGGCACACAACTCAAAGGCCCCCGTTGTGCCTTGACCCTGTGAACTCTGTCAACAATTGGTGCCGAGCGTCGATCAACCTGTCATCTCGCTTTGAAAAGCCCTCGTGGGGCCTGCGAGCCATAAATCAGTAGGCTTCGTGTGAGTGGCCCGTCGCCTCTGGGCCCCCAGGCGACATAAAACAAGGGAGAAGATTACAGGTGGTGCTCTGCGAGGCTCCCTTTTGGCTCCTTTGAATGGCAGTTCAGGGACAGTCACTGTGTCTGCTGGGGAGTGCTTTGTGGGGAAATGTTGGCTCGTGGCCCTCGCTGTCTTCAAGGTGTGAAATCATATTTTTTTCCCTCTACAGTTTCTTTTTGTCTTTTAGCCTTTCTTTTGTCAGTCCCGCTGCACACCTCTCTGTGTCCACCACCTGTGCCTTTTCCCACACCTAACCCACCTTTTTGTCTCCGTCTCTCTATTCTCTCCCACCACACTGCCTCTTCTCCTCTTTCCCTGCCTGGCTACTATCCCTCTTCATCTTTTCCACCCTATTCTTCTTCCTCTCCCCCCCAGCCATCCCCCAGCTTCACCCTTTCCATTCTGCATTATGCTTTACTTTCCTGCAGATTGGAGTTTTAGTATAGAAGCACTCTGGAAACATAAATAATCTCGCTGGCTGTGTAAAACTTCAGCGGGCCAAGCTAAGGAACTGCAGTTTTTCTGGCTCAGAGTGAAGTCCAGTAAGGGAAGGCAGAAGATAAGAGAGGGGGAAGCTCTGAAACACTGCCATGCAAATGTATCAGTGTCACATTGAAATGAGCCTTATCAAAGATAAGCTTGTTCCCCAGCCATGACGTTTACAGTCAGGTTTTTATTGTTTTGCTGTTAGTGAATTTGCACTTCAGAATCTTTGGCTGCACTCACTCAATCAGAGTCAGATCATTCAGAGCAGAAATATAATCAAAAAAGAAAAACTCCAATCTTCTATTCATCTCCCCTTCCCTTTTCCTCCCTTTCCCACACTATCCTCTGCTCCCTCCCACCACTTTTTGTTAGTCCCACCCTGGTCTCTTCATCTGTCTCCCCGCTCCTCCTCTCCCCCCCTCTCCAACTCTCTCTCTCCGTCTCAGCGCTGCAGGCAGGCCCAGGCTGTGCAGTGATTCAGCAGAATGCAGGCTGAGCGTGGGTTACTGATCCCCCATCTGTCTGCCCGTCAGCCAGCTTCTCCATTAACTCCACATCTCCTGCTGGGCACTCTCTCAACACATAAATTAAACAAAATCCATATGCACGCTGATAAATACACACCTCTTACACAGATTACGTTTATACACACTTGAGATGATCTACTGAATGAGCCAAAGGTGCATGCATATGTACTATACATTCATAAAAAGCTTCTTTAACACAAGCTTGAATACATGCTTTAATGCACCACTATGCAAGGGTGCATTTTGCACACTTAACATGTGGCAAAGCATGAAAAGCAATAACACAAGCTGTCATTCAAACCTGAAGCTAAAAACACGAGTATTTAGTTGCCTTTTTGTCACGTCTGCAACTGTATCAAACACGAAACTCAAGTCATGCCTCTGCAACATTATCTGGATAGATTTCACGCCGACTTTCCAGATGAAGCACGGATGAAAACTCCTTGTCAAGAGCAAAGCCAGAAAGGAAAGACGCGAGGAAGGAGTTTTCTGTCACTAATATCTGCAAGGATCCGGCTGTCCTGGATCACCACGTCTCACAAGTCAAACACGAGGACAAGGGAGAGGAAGAAAGACGAAATGAAAGACGTGATCAGTCAGCACAGGTCAGATTAGACAAACTCGAGGATTAGCAAGTGAGGACTTGATTGGGTTTACGCTGGCTGCTGATCTGCCTCAGCTTTCTCTGGAGGAAGAAAAAAACTGTGTCAGCAGGAAACTGGAGGATAGGGAATCTCTCTTGCTTTTTCCAAGAACCTGTCATTATGTGGACGGATGACATCATCATGATCGCCATCATCATCACTGGGGGTGGAGGGGTTTTAAGCATCATTTGCAACGTGGCGGTGACCTTGTTTCACCGCCCGGTTAACTTAGTAGCTTAGCAATCACGTCAGTGCAGAAACGGAGGGGTTTATATGCAAAATTGTGCAATCTGCCAAACTGAAACGGAAACAAGTGCGTGACACAGCAGTGGAAATGGGCCAGCTGTGGCTTAGGACACATACAAGGCTAATGCGTGTTTTAAGCTATAAATGAAGAGAAATATCAGTTTAAAGTGCTTTTGGGAAAGAAAGCCACAGCCACTCATTCTGGCCTCGACACAGCCGCTGTGGTCGTATGAATAGAGGGTGGGACGAGGCATGGGAGAGGGGCGAGCGCTGAGGTTTGTGCGACTGTGTGCGACTCCCCAAAATGTAGCAAAAGAGCTGTATTTTTGCACAGATGAAAGATGCATGTACATGAGGGTTTCTGTGGGGGTTGGGACCCAAAATGGGCTGCGGCTGTTTCTGGTGGCTTGCCACATGACAAGTGTAATAGCATGTTTTCATGGGCCTGGGTGCCAGGGTGAGACTAAATATCTCATTTAGGTCACCGGCTATAAAAGTTTTAAAATCCCTGGTCTACATATACCCCAAACTGGCAACCTAACTTGCCATAAATGTAGGCTATGTTGTTCCGTATGTCAACACTTCCAATCAGAATCTGGCCAGTAGCCACTGACTGTGCTAAATAAGCATTTAGTTGGTGCAGTGAAATCATCACGTCATGTTGTGACGTTACCAAATTGGACACTCCTGTCCTGCGCTCTCCTGAGTTTACTTTTTAATTTTAGCCATCACCAGATGGGAGCCATCACAGTGCTTTTGATTTTGACCCTTCTTCAAACAGTCTCCAGGGAGCAGCAGAAAAATGCTTTGAAGCCCTGTTTTGCACAGGGTTAATATTACACCTGTGGACATTAAGTTGTTTGTAATAATTGGTATCGTGGGTTATTTTAATCCTGTCTGTAATTTGTGAAGTTCCGGTGTAAATTACCAACCGTAGACAATTCTCCTCTGATAACAGTAATCCTGTGTGAATCACACTTACTGCAGTGGGAATTCAGGTGCACATTCTTGCTGTTGTAGCTGTGTTTGTATTTTGATCTCATGCTTATATTCATTTATTTTCTCATTTAAAAATGTCATCTCATTGAAACAACAGCAGAAGTGAAATGGAGAGTTTTAAATGTCTTTTTAGGGGAAGCTTTGAATATTTTGGGTAGAAATGTCTTACACTAGTGGACTGGGAGTGAGACTTAAAGTGTAACATCAGTATTTTTTCAACCTGGATCCTATTTTCCCATGTTTTTGTGTCTAAGTGACTAATGGGTACAACAATTTTTGAAAGTGGTCCAGTTTTGAACTTGAGGGCTGCAGCTGGCAGCAGCAAAAAGGGCTGCAATCTAACCACTCAGGGCACCCTGAATGTACATCCACTAAAGTGCTTGTTTTTGCACTGCCAGGCTCAGATTCATGTTCAAAGTGTCTGGAAACTTTGTGGAAAGAATCCCTACAGAGATAGACCTTTTAGTTGAAGAATAAAATCCTTTTTGTTTCACCAGAAACAGCACCGAAATCGCCACTGCAAACCCACCAAACTCCATTTAAAAAAATGGTAATTTTATTATTGTAAAATACGCTTCATTTAAAGTCAACAGACACAAAATAAAACTCACAAAAAACATCTTTGTTTGTCTTTCCACTGTTCCAACAATCACTAACTCTGTTTTGCTTCAAATAAACTCTTAATTCACACAGTTAGATGTGAAAACATGCTGGCTCTATACACGCTAAAATCACTATTAATTTCAATGGAGTCTGGTGTGTTTGGCAATAGCGATGTTGGAGCTGTTTCTGGTTAAACGAAGGGGATCTTACTCTCTAACAAAACGGTTTATCTCTGTAAGGATCCTTTGAATAATGCTCTCAGACACTAGAATAACAATCTGAGGCTGTCACTTACAAAAACAACCACTTTTAGGGGACATACATTGATGGTGCACAAATGCCCAGAGAGGTTACTTTGCCCAAAACTGGACCAATTTCAAAAAGTGTTCTTCCCATTAGTCACTTTGACACAAAAAATGGGAAGAAAAGGTCCAGGTTTAAAAACACCAAAGTCATTGCATGCAAGCTATATCAATCAATCAATCAATTTTATTTATAAAGCCCAATATCACAAATCACAATTTGCCTCACAGGGCTTTACAGCATACGATATGATGCCCCTCAGTTTAAAACTTATCCACTGGTTGTTGGTGCTAATGTGCCAAGAAGTTTAGCAAAGCACCTGAAAAAGGCAGAGAAGACGAAAACTGCTGATGGTTGCAAATGATGCAGTGTTCAACATTAGAGTTCTGAGCATTGCAAATGTTTTATGAGGAAGAAATGCATTCATCACTTTTATTAGGCCTCAAGGATACACACAGTTTATCTTGATGAGAATGTAAATATAACTCAGTGTTTACAAGAAAACCCCACAGGGCACCTTTAATGAACCTCAAACATTCATGATATTAATGAGTGACCTCATCCGTCTTTGCCTCCCTATCAGATGGAGAATCTCATGATGACGCCATGCTACCAGTCCCAGAGTCCATGCTACCCCAAACCAAGGTTCCCTTATATGGAAGAGACCACATCAGCAGTCGGAAGGCACAGGCCATGAAACAGGCCAAGGACCGCAAGAAGCAGCTGGCCAGGCTGGGACCTGCCAGCAACCTGGACTTCTCCCCGCTCAGCCTGGATAAACTGGAGCCTGAATTCGTAAGTGAAGTAGAGATTAAACCAGAGTGAAAAACTGACTCAGCTCAGAGGAAAGTAAACATTAAGAAACCAGTTCTGACAAATCAGCCAAGATGCCCTGCAGGGCTGCTTTCACACCAGACCTCATGGTGTGAACAGAGTGATTGCCAAATTACTTAAGCAGTGGAGGTATTTCCCAACTCCTTACTTTTTTATTTCTAGGGCACAAACTTTCAGGACATTTTGAACTATCATTTTTAACTCTAATGCACACAACATGACCATGCAAACACTCACACCTCTGTCCGTGTGTGTGTGTGTGTGTGTGTGTGTGTGTAGGGCCCCTGCAGGAGAAGACTGGATAATCTCATTCAGAGCATGAAGGACACCTCTAGGGTCTTGGCTCTGTCACTGTACATCCCCAACTGTGACAAGAAGGGCTTCTTCAAGCGCAAACAGGTATGAATACATCTTTTCATTGATACAAACCTATTCACTGTCCAAGGAAGTATTAAACACAAGCATCTCAACCCAGTTTGTAACTCTATACTTGCAGTGTAAGCCGTCTCGTGGTCGGAGGAGGGGGATCTGCTGGTGCGTGGACCGGTTTGGCGTGAAAATCCCCGGCATCAACTACGCTGGCGGAGACCTGCAGTGCAAAGATCTCGACAGCAGCAGCAACAGCAACGAATGAGAGCGAACTGGTGGTACTCGCTGAGCCCCCAAAACCTGCCAATCAAGCTAGCACACTTACTGACTGCCAATCAGGAAAATACGGCACAAATGCTTATATATATGGTCAGGTGTGATGGACTGTTTAATTTTTTTCTTTCAGAGGGGAGCCGAACTGAAAAGCTTGCTTGGGTGGAAATCTTCACATGTAGGTTTTTGGCTCCCCCGCTGACCGTGTACTATGTTTGAGGTTAGCTAACACCTCACCTCTTTATATCCGTAGATAATAGAGGATTATATATATTTGTATGATATTGATAATATGTTGTGTATTGAGTGTATTGCTAAATTTACTCCACGAAATTCTGAGACAAGACATATTTTAAATGTGGCTACAAATCAACTTTTTTCCTAATTGTTGTCATAGTGGTGATCAAGGAGAAACCATTGAAGAGTAAGTCAGTACTACTCTAAATTAGCAATGTTTTACTAACTGTTAATCATGTGAATGACATTTTGATGTGAGAGGCATTTTTTAGATATCAAATAATGACTTCTGCCATTCAGTGCTGCCCACAACCCACTCTCACTGAACACGTTCAGACTTTTCGGCTACTCTGCCAAGCCAGAAAATGGGGGAAGGGTTCTGAAGGATTCCTGTAGGAGGCTGGGTATATTATATAGTCATCAGATGGGAAAACCATCTGAAGACACACAGAATCAGCTGACAGTCATTCCATATGCCATAGCCATGTCAGCATGATAGCTATCATTGTTTGTTCAGCATAGAGTCAAGAAAATCCTGTTTTCACTAATTGGATCTGTTACAGCTAACAGAAGCCTACACTTAAAAGAACAGTTTGGCATTATGGGAAACTTATCACAGTCTTGTCGAAGGTTTAATGAGATGATTGACACCACACTCATATTTGTCTGTTAGAATGAAGCTAAAGCCAGCAGCTGGTAAGCTTAGCTTAGCACAAAGACTGGAAACAGCTAGCGTGGCTCTGTCCAAATGTGACAAAATCCATCTACTAGCACTTCTATAACCCCCCTTACAACTTGCAGTGAAATGCATTTCCCTGATCGGATTGCAATCAGATAGTGCTTGACCACATCAAAAAAGTAAGGGTGTAAATGCGCCCAGAATGCATTGAGAATAGATTATGATGTGATCGGCCAAATCACAGGAGGTGGTCAGGGATGCATTGTGATCATTTGAACACAGGTGTAAGCTTAAATGCAATTGCGTTTTTAATTTACAAACAGCAATATGGACGGAAATACCAGATCTCCAGGAAGTGCACCAGGCTTTGAAGCCAATTTTCATAGTGGCCAAACGGTGACATTACATCCATGGCCCAAAAAGCCTTTTCTCATTGACTTACATGGGTAAAGAGACATCTGGAAATCAGCTGATGAATTATTTTGAGCATCACAACCCCTGCAAAATGACTTGTCTCACTCCATTTAGTTTGATAACATTTGGAAAGTACGCTTGCTTTTTCGGCCCAATAATGCAGAGGCAATCCCGATCATCCAGGTAATTTTATACAAATGGCAGGTGAACATTTCTGGTTTCATGCACCATTAAGGAACTTTCATAGGAATGAACGGGACACCACCCTCCACAATGTATCCAGTTCACTTTGTATATCCATGGGGAATACTTAATTGCACACAAAACCAGCAAGCTAGCAGCTATTAGTTAGTTAGCTAACCAAGCTATTAGGGAAAAGCAGCAAGAAAGGCAAAAAATTTTCAAGACACTAGTTGATGGAATCAAGACAAGACCAAGTGAGTTTAATTAGGTCCGAAACTTGACATCTCATATCGCAACCAAGCCATTTATGAAGCAACGGCTAAGCAAATGGAGGAGAACGGCTCCAACTGATCCTGGACACGGCGATTAGATCTCAAAGGACACATATTTACGTTTGAATCCTGAGCAAATGAAAGAGAAAATGAAAACAAATTCAAAACAAGAAAATTAGTTTAAAACAAAAAAGTTAAAAACAAACATACAAACAAGGAAATGACCTGAAAAAGTACTTAAAAATTCCAATAATTATGTCTCTATAATAATTTTCTAAATTTAGTTGTTGTTGTTTTTTTGCAATTTGTGGGACATTTCTTACCAAGTTGCATTTTTCCTCATCATTGCCTTTTTCCTATGTTCTTGAAATAAATAGCGCCAACTTGCTCAATGTTCAAACGTTTAAATACTTGAAAAAAAGTGTCTGAGAGCAGCACAAGAAAAGTGATGTCTCTCCAGGTTTCAAAGGGTTAATACCAGGGGCTCTAGTTTCCCGGTGCAGCGCAGGTGGCGCAGGGTGGAGCAGAGCTAGTTTCGTAGCCTGAGTGTCAGACTGAAGCTCCCAGAACCTTCAGTCTGACATGGCTTCCATTGAAGGCGATTTACAAGGGGGAGGGAATTTGATTTTTCCCTAACCAATCAGTAGAGATCAACGACTCACCCAGAATCTGATGTCATTAGTATCCATGCCTCGGGGGTGCCGAAAACAAGCGAGCATTGCCCGTTTCAAATGTCTCTCTTGTCGTGCACGCCCAGCTGCATTGCCGTTAAATCCAGTTTAGCAGCTTCCTTAATTTGGTCCTCCATTAACGCGAGTAGTGGCGAAATACCTCGATAGCATCGTTAATGTGGTCTGTAGGATCTGTAGCGGTCGCCATTGTTGCTATCCTCACCAGTTACCCACCGGCGTACAGCTTGACATCAGCATGGCGCTGATTGGCTAATCGCTAGACCCCCGGGGTTCATTGGTCCGTGCATTGTTTGGACGAGATAAATCGCAAATTCATTGAAGTATGCCAGACCAGTAATGCAACGCTACTCAATTGAGTGGGCGGGGTCTATGGTCTAGAACCAGGCTACTAGTTTCGAGCAGCCCGAGGCGCGCTCAGTTTGGTAGTTTGGCAGAGGTGCGCTGAGATGGGTGTGGCGGCGCAGCAGGGGGAGGTGTCGACAGATCCAGCTTGGCACAGTGACAGTTTCGTGCCAAAAGGCTTCGCCGAAGGTGCGCTAAAAGCTCGCCAGCTGAAACCAGGTCTACTGTCAGTGCAGGGGGAGCGCAGCCGGTGTAAGCCAAAGTTTGGCTGACCGGCGGACAGTGCGCACACGTCACCATAACCTCACAGGCAGGTTTCCAGAATATCAGGCACATTAACAATGCAATAAACACCCACAAAACCACTATTCATTGCAACTATCTGCAATCAGCACATAAATGTATCTCTATACCGACTGTCCCGTCACATCTGATGTCAGATCAAAGGGGATTGGCACCGTTTGGCAGGTTTGGCACGCGTAATGGAAACCCAACCTGATTTGATTAACACAGCTGCAAACTAATGAGTTCACATCCCTCTCAGCCAACCACAAACAGCCACAGCATCAGATAGGGAGTATATATTCAGCATCTGTCATCTTAGAAAAGTCAAAAGAAAAGAAACAGAGTGAGACTGAGAAAGAGAAAGAGAGAGAGCGTGCGCGCACGAGAAAAATGCATCATTTATTTACAATTGTGGTGACCTCCTCCCAGGCTACCTTTGCATCATCAGCCCGTGGAGGTCTGCTCGCAGTTCCGTATATTCGGACACTGCGAGCAGACCTCCCGGACCAAAACATAAGTTTCCTCCTGGGAGGAGTTTGGCTGTCTGACGCTGCTGCTCTCTTCTGCAATGGCGAATTGAGTCAACTCTCATTACACCTTCGCGCGGCGCATTTAAGGGCGAGGAGAGGGGCTCATTTGATTGGTGTGATGTGTGTAAAACCCACTCCACGCCTTCTCTCCTCCCTCTTTCCGACTTGCGCCGGTAGGAGGGACGGAGGTGGGAAAGAGGAGTAGCTGCGCCAGGGCGCACGGTGTGCCAAACTTACAAGATCCGCCTGGCCACACCCAGTTGGCGAAGCGCAGGTTGTTAGTTGCTGACAAGACATAGAAACTTATAGTCAAAATTCAAGAGAAATTCATAAAAATTCAACTTTAAATTTTGGGAATATCAAAAGAGAAATCAACAATAGTGTGTTTTTAAATCATGTATGTCATGTATCATGTATCATGTATGTGTTTGCCAGTTAGAGGTGATTATTTTCTACATCTCAATTTAAGTCAAAATCACAATGTGATGCCGTATGCAGCACTTGGAAACAAACTGTATTGTACTGTAAAACCTAGAACTCAGTCTCCTTTTTAAAGGCCTTTTTCAAGTCCAGACAACTGCGTCCACTGTTTGTAAATGTATGTACAGTGTGTGTGTGCATGCTCCTGTGTGTCTATGTGTGTGTGTACTGTACTGTACGTGCCATGTCCTTATAGTTCTCAACTACACAAAGCTCTGTTTTTAAATTCTCACGAGCCCTGCCTACCCAAGCTACTGTCCGACAAATGTGGTGCTGTGCATTTCCCTTTGGCACACAAATCGTATGCAAAGGCCCCGTGCTGTTTGTTTCCACATGTAGGGTCTTCACTGCCACCACCCAGGCAAATCTGTCGGCTTGCTCTCAGGGTTTATTGGGTCCTGTATCCTGCGAAGAGCAAGGTCGCTGAGTTTGCATGTAAATTCAAGTGCCTTCTGCCCCACGCCACTTTGAATTTTCATTTGCATGTGGACCCATAGTGTTGTTGAATGAGGGACACTGGCACAAAGGAGCGAAACAATTTCAGGTGTGGATGTGGTCTGAAAGATTTATTGTCAGATTTTGTTTTTCAGTTGGCTGCTGACAAAGATTATCATGATCTCTCAGTCAAGTGAACATATGACAGAGGACAACTTTTTTGTTCTATAGCTCAAATTTGCTTAAGATCCATTTTTTTGTTGTTATAATCTAGCATTCATTTCATGACTCTTATAATCTCAGACATTCCTAATGCCTGATATTAGGAGATTATTGACAGGGGCTCATCAGCCAATTTGATTCTAGCACACATGTAAACACAACACAGTGACACTTTCTCAGAATCTCTGTTGAAAAAAAACATTAATGTGAACATTATGGTTAAATATTTATCAGGCGTGTAATTGATGTACTCTTTTTTTTTTTGTAATGACAAATCATTATTTAAATAAAGTTCATGTACTCACTAAACAGCATATCTGCACTTGTGTCTTAAATGTGTGAACTCTGCCAAGATTGTGAATTGTTGAGTCAGCAGATGTGTTTTTGTGACGGCTATCTCTGTGACCTTGACACTGTTAAAGACTCTCGTGACACAGGTTGTTTCCATCTGCGGTCAAGGGCGAAACTGCCTGCTGTGACACAAGTCACTCGGGTGTGGCTAAAGGTGAAGCATGTTTTTGAAAGGTTAAACTTGCAGAGGGCAGCGCCACATTTTGTGCAAAATATGATTACACAGAATGTGGATTGCCAATATACTTTGTGCAGACATTCATCGTCCCCAGATGATGTATCTGACTGACTTCAGTGAGCCCCTGACTTTTCCTCTAGCGCTATCATAAAGCTGTTTTTGATGGAAATTTCTCATTAACTAGTGGGTGGATTGTCATGAAATTCATGTCCAGGGTAAACTGTACTACATTTGGTGATCCAATGAAATTTCATCAGGTGACATCATAAATTCAAGTTAAAACGTATCCAGTATTTGTTTCACAACCAAATACCTGATATGATATCATCAGCCTCACCTGTACTTTGTGGTTTGTTCCAGTTGAGTAGGATCATGCTAGTACACTAAACAATGATTGCAACTCTGGTAGACATTCCCCATTAAGCATCAGTATGTTAGCTTTGTCATTAGCTTTAGCATTTAGCTCTAAAAATAGCTGCACCTGAGCCATTAGCATGACCATGACCAGGGATATTGTATTTGCTTATGGGCTACTTTTGCAAAATGACAGAAGGCCAGGGGCCGGTTAATAAACAAACAGTTTGCATTTCTCACTCATCTTTTCAAAGAAGCAAATCCAGTCACAGCAGCCTGTGTGCACAGAGGTGTTTCTAGGATCTGAGGACATTTGGGATACAGCAGGGAACTCTGTTGGGGCGTCCAGGATTTCCTTCACTGTCACTTTTTTTAATAGAAAATCAAAAATTTGATGCTTTTAAATGCACTTTAGCAACTCATTTACATTCAAAGTACAAAAAAAATCCCAGTGTGAATTAATTTATTTTCATTGTAAATAAGAAAATGGTCGGCAAGCCACCCGGCACCCTATCATGGGCTAGATTTAGTTTACTATCACTGCTGCAGACTCTTTGTCTTGAGATATATTCAGGGATTGGATGGTGTAAACAATCAACATGGCAACACTTGAGGAGTTATATTATTTCGGAGATCACAGCAGAAAAAAGCAACAGCAGCGCCATATTAGACGGTCTATAAGGCGCCTAAATCAAGCACGTCATGACAACAGCAAGTATGTTTCTCACACTACCCTTACCATTCATGTGTTTTTTGATCGTGCAGATGCAAAGCTATGATTTCTGAGGACATACACAACTGACGCTACAAAAGAGTTGCAGGATATGCAAGGCTGCCATCTGCCAACAAAGAAAGTTCCGATTCAAGTCTTGTTTGGGTAAAATCAAAAGAGTTCATAATGGCAAAGTATATTTATTGTATTTACGATTGTTGGGTTAATACTTGGTTTTTCTTGATACTTAATTTAATGCATGTGTCTCCTGTTTAGATGCAATGTGTCTGGTTGTTTGCATGATATGGGGTGTTCTCAGGTGGTGCAACACATGATCACCCTGCTGCTGATTAGATTCAGTGCAGCTGCAGCCCTGCATCAAGCACCAAATTCAAACTCCGTCTCCAAATTAAAACTCAGGCAGGCATAAGCTGAATTTATTACCATTTTAATAGCATTATCTGTTAATGAGGCGAACAGTAGTCTGCAAGCTAGGACACGAAAACACACCTAAAAACACCAAACATGTTGAAGGCTTTTCATTTTTCAACACATACAGTACAAAACACTGATAACAGAGCAAATCTGAGCAAAGTCACAATTAGTAAAGCAAAGTCACCGACACTCCAGCTGACTACTGAACATCTACGAGGGCAAGGGAGTCTTATCCTAACATCTCCTAAAAACCTAAAAACAACAAAAACAATCTGCAGTTACATCCTACGCAGCAAGCTTGATTCTATCATTTAATCCTTTTTGGTGGTTACGATTTCAAATGTCACAGTCATCAAATGAACTAGAGACACACACAGAAAGATAATATATAGCTTACTCAGATGTTCTTTGTTCCCAAGTACTTTACAGTTTTTTTTCCTCTCGCTTCATGCCACATTATATCTGGGCCATGTC